CGTTGAATATGTACCTCTTTATTAACTTGTCCACCTCAGTTAAAACCCTATTGTATGTATGTATGTATGTTTGTATGTATGTATGTATGTATGTATGTATGTATGTATGTATGTATGTATGTATGTTTGTTTGTGTGTATGTGTCTCTTTGTATGTGTGTGTATGTGTGTGTGTGTGTGTGTGTGTGTAGGAGAAGGTTGTATCTAAGAGATTCGTTATCTCTCTAGCTCTATCTGTATGTGCGTGTGTGTGTGCGTGTGTGTGTATGTGTGTGTGTGTGTGTAGAGAGAGGAGAGGAGAGAAAAAAGAGAGAGAGTGAGAGAGAGAGAGAGAGAAACTATTTACGAAGTCATAATATAATACAAAAATTACCTTTCAGACAAGACCACCACTTCAAACTCAGTTGAACTCCTTAAATGAGTGAAGTGGGTGAACAATAATAAGAACAATAAAAATAATAATAATAAGAGTAATTATAATAAAAAGAGCAATAATCATAATTTTTTATAAAAGAACAGACGAAAAAATGATCAAACAACCAGCCAGCCAGCCAACCAACCAGCCAACCAACCAACCAACCAAATAGACAAACCTTCTTCTAGCCAATCTCTTTGGAGTAACAACAGATTCGTTATCATTACGGACGCCTGTATCATCATCATCCTCAACATTCATCATCATCGTCGTCGTCGTCTGAGATGATGATAGTGATATTCTAGCATAACCATTACCGGCAATATCATTACCATTACCAACAGTATCATCACCATTACCGCGAAACTTGAGATCATCATCATCATAAACACCAACATCATCATCATCATCGTCATTGTTGCGGTAGTTTTCTGAATCAATCTTTTCAATGTTAGTAGTAATACTAGTAGTAGTAGTAGCTGTTGTATTGTTGTTGTTTCTATTTTTATTATTATTATTATTTTTATTATAATTATTATTATTATTATTATTATTATTATTATTATTATTATTATTATTATTATTATTATTGGCTTTGTTGTTGGATTTAAAAATGTCAAATTGGTTGAGTGTTGATGATGATGATTTAGATGACGGTGGAGATGCTGGCTTATTATTATTATTATTAGTTTTATTATTATTATTATTAGTTTTATTATTATTATTATTATTATTATTATTATTATTATTGTGACTTGATGATGATGATGATGATGTCGCGGTTGTTGCTGTAGTTACTGCTGTCGGCAAAACTTTGACTTTAACATTTGCCGGCAACAACTTTTTACGACTCAAACTACCACCACCACCATCATTATCATTATCATAATCATCTTCATTATTATTATTATTATTATTATTAATACAACTATTGTTATCCCTATTATGTTGTAACGGTAACGTGTCGACAATGTACACAGATTTAGAGGATTTCAGTAGCAATGATGACGACGACGATGACGTCATTTTTGTTGATGACGATGATGATGATGTTGTTGTTGTTGTCGTGGTTGGTGTAGTGACCGACGACGACGCCAGCATCGGTGATGATAATGATAATGTTTTCAGATTGTAGTTCTGCTGCTGTAGGTTCCGTGAGCGTTTCAACTCTCTCAATAAGTAATCCTTAATTAGTGATTAGGATAAATGAATGAATGAATGAATGAATGAATGAATGAATGAATGAATGAAAGAATGAATGAATAAAACTAACTCAATCAACCAACCAATCAACTAATTTTATTTTATAATCCATTCAAGCAACTAACAACTAATCAACCAAACCAACCAACCAAAGAAAATTTATCATCATAGGGCAATAATTCATCGGCAGAATCGACAAAAATCTCGTCGTATTTATTTATAAACTGCAGCATTATGCAGTTAGTCACACCCTGTTCTTTCAATCCGGAAAAACCCGGACCACACCTGATAATGATGATGATTGTAATGATGATGATGATGATTGTAAAGATGATGATAGAGATTGTGATGTAGATGATGGTAATGATAATGATTAAAGTAATGATAACGATGGCAGAAAATGTCAACAAACTTGAAAATGTTAGGTCCAAACACTGTCGACAAAGCCGTCGAATTCATCTTAGAATAGGCACGCTTCTTGGCGGCCAGCACGAGGAATGCGCAAAGATATTTTAGCATGCATCTATTCTCGTACGGTAGTCGGCAGACGAGATTTTTTAATTTCATTGATACTAATTTACAATCTTTCAACGATTCTGGTAAACACAATTTTGTAAAAATAATTCTTTAATATATTTTTTTTTTAAATTTGAAAGATAAAAAAAATAATAAATGGAAATAATTATAATGATAAATAACATAAAAAGTTAAATAAGAATAGTAAAAAAAAATAATTAACAAAAGACGAAATACACTAACTTTCTTGGACCTCTAGGAACTGTTGGGTCATGTTGGCAGGTACAATTGTATCTTCCAACTCCCTAAGAAATAACTTCAACAAACTGGCAACGGAGGCGGGGTCCACCATGTCTGCATCCAGGTTCGCATCTCCTTTTTTGTCGAACTGAGCTCGGAGTTTTTCAACCGTTTTTATGCTGCCATTGATTCTGAATATTCCCTCTTGGTCTAGCCCTGATTGATTAGAAAATAAGTGTTGATTATTTTATATGAATAAATTGAAATTCCGATAGATATATTAATAATTGATTATTATTTCAGTTAGTGAAGTTGTTACTGACCATGTTCTAGAAGGTATTTTGTCAACTTATACACTAAATTAGGGATGACGACACCTTCACGTTTCGTTAAGTTGGCTAGGCTTTCCCCGAAATATTTACTTGATGATTTATCTTTAGACATTCTTTTCACTAATTTACTAATTCTAAAATAAAATAAACAAATTACAAAATTACAAAAAAATTCAATAATAATTTATTTTCAAGTAGCAAATTAAATAAATGACAGACTTTAAAACGCAAAATGACATTTTGATAATCACAGGACTCAAATGAAAACTAATCCAAGCGATTTTCTTAATTATCAGAATTTTTAAAATTTAAAATACTTCACCAAAAACTTCATAGAATAATTTTTTACCTGGCTTTTTAATTGAGTGAAAAATTGTGACCTAAATCAAAATGTCGGATTTTCACATCAGATAAGAAATGAAATATCTATTCAGATTTTTGACGAATTAAGACATTTTATATTTAATTGAGATTTATTTTATTTAAAGCATTTTGTTTAAAAAATCGTAAAATTAAATTCAAATTTATTCGCTTTGTTTATGTTTTGATGAGGCCAAGAGATGGTGAAGTTTTTTAAAGTTCTTTAATTAAAATTCAGAGACAATAAATTACTTGATTATTTTAATAAATAAATAAAAATTATAACAATAAAAATTATAAATATTATAAAATAAAGTAATTAATGTAAAGTTTTAAATTATCAAAAAATAATATTAATAAAAATTACGTTTTTTCTATTTCATGTCTTTGCAAGTAAGCCATTTCCTCCTCCATTTCTCTCCCTGGCCGGTGTTGTAGAGGCTTCGCTCTCCTAATTTACGAATTTTTGACTTTAAATTGATTTTTTAGTATTTTTTTTACTAAATATTTCATTAATTAGATTGCCGATGATGTTATTTTACTAATTTCCTTACTCAGATGATTTTAAATTGTGATTGCTTAGTGGTATTTCTGAGGCAAATTTAACTTGCCTACTGATTAGATTAGTGTTTCACTCTTTGAAGTTTTAATTAATTAAATTTATATTTTATTTTTTTGCCAACTGTGTTGCCTTAGCGGATTTTTCTTGCCGCCAATGGCGTCAAAAGTGGCATAAATAATTAGTTTTGGCTCTTTCTAAGGACCACGTTTCTTTGTAAATGGGGTCCAAAATGGCCGATCTAACACTACATTATCATTCAGTATCTCACGTTCAGCCTCATAAAAGTTTGACTGATTTCATTCTTTTACGTTAGTGAGGTCAGTATAGGATTGAGGTGATACTGTTTTTCATTTCATAACGATCCATGCCCAATGGATGTTTTGAATTTCAATGGGCCTCGCTTGTGTTATGAAACATTTTGATCGTTTTATTAATTAAAAATGTTATTTTTTAGATATTTGTCGACTTGTTATCCACCTCTGAATGTGCACCCGTGTGTGCTTTCCAATGGAAACAAGTCAGATTAAGAAAAAAATGTGAATTAACTTCGGTTTTTAGCCTTGTGCCAGTAGTGCACCATTGCTTCAAACCATCCTCTGAGTTCATACATCTGATTCTATGTTAAGCTAAGCTAATTAGGGAATAGCTTTTTTTGGTGGGCTGATTTTGAAGCTATCTAATGATGAGCGAATAATCACTGATAAAGCTCTGTAGCCATTGTGCTTGATGTTTTATTGTTTCTGGTGTTTTGTGTTTCTTTTTTGTTTCTTTTTTATGTTATTTTGGCTACAGACATTGTGATGGTGGATTATGAGATCTGAAGATAGCTGATAACTTTCTGTATTTTATTTATTCCGCTAGATGTCATTTTTGTCTACCTCACTTGATTTTTTTAATCATAAACCATGAATAAACATATATGCACAACCATTTGGGCATTTGTATGAAACATTTACCATTAAGAAGCATGTGAGTTTTGTCAGATATTTAATGACAACATTAAAACCTACATGAATATAAGAACACATGTGTGACATATTTTTAACTGACATTGGATTCTCTAAAAAAAATGAAATGTATGTGTATTTGCATGTGCGTGTGTGTGTGTACGTCTATGTGTGTTTCAGCAGTTTAACAAGGCTACGTAAAAAATTTCACTAAAATTGAATATATTCGAGAAGAATTTTGGCTTGTAGAATAACACGTGGTTGTGTTTAGCATTATTATTAGCACTTGTTGTGTAAGTGATTCTCACAATCCCTCATTAGGTTCTAAGTTTCAGAAAGATTTTTTTAGCTAACACTTCACGTATTTAAGAAGAATTTTAGGTTGTAACATGGCCAAACACTCCACATATTTTTTAAAATATTTGAGAATTCCACGTTCGATTCAAATTTTTAGGTTGTAACATGGCTACACACTCCACATATTTTTTAAAATATTTGAGAATTCCACGTTCGATGCGATTTTCAGGCTTAGGCCTTCAAATAATTCTTCAAATTCCCTGTAGGTGACTGTGGTCTTAGGTTGTGTCGCTAGGTTGCTGCTGTCTTTGAAGGCGTTTTCGAATGTTTTCTTGATTTCTTCGTCACTTTTTTCTTCTGTTTGTGTGGTATAAGATCTGTGTATGTATGTCTGTTTATGTGTGTGTGTTGTTTATGTGTATGTGTCTGTGTGTTTCATTGAATTGTAAGAATGACTAGAATATTCCCCTAACTCGTCTTGACTTTGGCATGCTTCAGAGCGTTTAGGAATTTGTGTATCAGTGATGTGCTGATTATACCGTTTCGTGTCGAATCTATCTTCAAAAAGGCCTGCGGACATTGATTGGTTGATAGATGGATGGATTGGTTGATTGATTGATGTATTTATATTTATTGATAAGAAAATAATAATGATATATATTTATTAAATTATAATAAAATAATTATGTAAGTTTTCCATAAAAAAAATTTTACTTTCAAAACGAGACATTTTCTCTCAGACTCCATCTCACCAAGGACGTACCTCATGAAGCTGAGATAGCTCACAAAACTCGTGCTATCTGGATCTAGGATTTCTAAAATTCCGGATAATTTCTAAAAACGAAATGAATGAATGAATAACTAAACGAATGAATGAATGAATAACCGAGTGAATGACTGATTGAAAGAATGAACGGCACACATAGAGTTGAAAGAACTGCCTAAAAATAAAACACCAAAAATATGACAGCGTAGGTTTGGTAGAACGTTCTAAAATGGGAACTTATAACAATGACGTATGAATAGGCACTGAGTTGAAATAACTTCAAATATTTTAAAATAAAAAACAAGCAAACGTTGTCTGATAGAGTAATCTCGAACTTGGCAAGCCCTGCTTCCAGTTCGTAGACATTGACCTTTTCGGTCGATTTTTCACTCTGGCAAACTCGACGGTAATAATTGCCGATATTCAGGTAAGTAGTTATCGGTTTGTGGCTGAGTTGTTGTCGGGTATTTTCTGTGGTTGGTTTGTTTGTTGGATGGTTGGTTGGTTGTTGGATTAATTGATTGACTGATTAAACGAATGATTGTTCAGTTGGTGGTTTTTTTTTTCCTGAAGTATAACGCAATAAATATCTAAGGTGCTTATTAATTTATTTGTTTATTCATTCATTTAAACATTTTTTAATTAATTCATTCATTCATCTATTCACGTATCCAGTCATTAACTCATCCATTAATTAACTTGTTCATTCACTCAACGTATAATTAATTTCAACGTTATTATTAAATGAAAGAACGAATGAATGAGCAGATTGATGAACGAATGAATAAAAGAATAATTGAATGAATGAATAAATGTACAAATTATCATTCTTATTATTAAGGTACCTTTAACTTGGTAGGGTATCCTTATGTACCTTTCTTCGGCATCTGTTTTTGGCATGTGTAACTTGTTCCAAACATTTTCGTGTTGATATTTATCAATGTTTTTTAATCTATGTAATCAAATATTTTTTATTTATTCATCCATCCATCCATTTATCTCCTCATTCGTTCTTTCGTTCGTTCGTTCGTTCATTCATTCATTCATTCGTTCATTCATTCATTCATTCTTTTACTAACAATATGCTTCTCTTAGCTTCAATATCAACGGACATAATATTTACAATTAGCTTATCCTGGTTTTTCCAAACATCGGGCAATGGCTGTTTCTGGGTGGGGAATTCCAGGTCATTGCCCTGCACAATTAGCATAATTTATGCATGGAGATGTGTGTATAACCTCATTAGCATAATTAACTACTTGTATGACGTCAGTGATGACGTAATTTTCGCCCTTGCGAGGGCCGCGCATGTGCGTGTAGGTGTTGCGTTTGATGAGTGGAAGGATTTTTGATCTGCGTTTGTGTGTGTGTGTGTGTGTGAGAGAGAGAGAGAGAGTGAGAAGTGCATGTGTGAGGAGTGCTGTGTGAGTGAGGAGTGTGTGTCAATCAATCAATCTATCTATCAATCAGTGAAGCCAGCTTCTTACTCTCTCCCAAACTGCTTGTATTCGTAAATAGTTATGCTGCCATCGATGGCAAAATAAAAACCCATGATGTCTTTCAGTGACTCTTTATTCATCCTGAATGAATGAATGAATGGATGAATGAACGAACGAACGAACGAATGAATGAATAAACGAACGAATGAATGAATGGATGGATGAATGAATGAATGAACGAAAAATGAATAGATGTTATTACGTGGAAATAACTCTGGCTTCGAAGACGATGACGTTGCTCAGGGAACACTCGGTTGTGGAGTTTGATGTCTTAACCCTTTAAAAGAGAAAAATAACAGCAACAACAATAACAACAATAATAATAATAATAATAACAATAGTATCAATAATAATAATAGCAACAACATATCAAAATTATAGCTAATCTCAACAACAAACAACGGTAGTAACAAAGTGTCGTGAAGATAGCGAGGTGGAACCCTTCTATCGCCCATCTGATGATGATGTTCTTGTGATGATGATGACGATGACGATTGTTGTGCTGATGATGATGATTTTTTAATTTTTGATTGAGTTGGATCGCTTAGAACTGGCCTGTTTATTTAAAATGATGATGGTGACGGTGATGATGATGATGATGGTGGTGATGATAATGATAATGATGAGAATGAAGATGATGATGATGATGGTGATGAATGTTGTTGATGATAAAGCTATAATAGTAAATCACTTGACCATTATTATCTTCAACATAATCGTTATCATCATCATCGTCGTCGTCATCATCATCATAAATATTTTAATAAACATTATTATTATTATCATTATCAACATCATCGTCATCATCATCGTCACCACCATCACCATCATCATCGTCACCATCATCATCATCACCACCATCATCATCACCATCGTCACCATCATCATCATCACCTCCAGAGTTGGTCGGTTATAGCGGTGTTGAGCAATTTCAGCTTTCTATTCTTTCTTTCCAAGTCTTCCTACAATCATCATCATCATCGTCGTCATCATCATCATCACAATCATCATCATCACCAGTAATTACAACAACAGTAACAACAATAACAAAAAATCAAACAACAACAATGACAAAATATTAAAAAAAAACCACTCAACAGGCACCTTATCTGATATCCTCTTTTCCTCTTCTTTGCTGTAGGGTACCTCAGTAAAGCCGGCGAACATCGAGCTAAGTTCGTCGCACATTTTAAAATTATTATTACTATTATTATTATTATTATTATTACTATTATTATTATTATTATTATTATTATTATTATTATTATTATTACTATTATTATTATTATTATTATTATTATTATTATTATTATTATGGTTGTTGTTGTTGTGGTATTGATATTTGCTGTTGAGTGCGGCTCGCTGCGTCAGATTATAATTTGATTCGGAAATATTTTTGGCGGGAACCTCGACAAAAGCAATCGAAGAAGCATCATCATCATCATCCTCATCACCACCACCACCATCGTCATCGTTATCATCATCGTCGCGTAATTTTAATGGCGGGATTTGACTACGAAAAAATAATAAATTAGTTTGGTAGTAGTCGTAGTAGCAGCAGCAGCAGTAGAAGTAGTAGTTGTAGTAACAGTAGTAGCAAAGCAACAGCGCTGGTAGTAGTAAGGGGAATGAAATGAAAAAAATTAAGCATACTAGACCTGGCCAGTTTCATAAAGCTTTCATTTGTCGTTTTCAGATCATAATTACTATATATTTTTTTATTATTCATAATAATAATTTAAGTTATAAATAAAATCAATAATACTACTAATAACTATTAAACAAATTAATTATTTAATTATTAAATTTTTGTGAAAATAATCTAAATAAAATAATACAGTTAATAATAATAATAATAATTAACAATAATAATAATTATTATTATTATTGCTGTTGATAAATTAATTACTTAAATTCTTTTGAAAAATAATAATTCTTTTTAAGCAAAAATATACAGGTAGCAACGATAATAATAATGAAAATTTCCTTGTCGTCACCATAGCAACTACCAGGTATAAATCAAAGATGGGCTGAAAAATTACGTTTTATTATTAATATTATTATTATGACAACCCTTGAAACTCAAGACTACACTAACTATAGCTATTTTTTGGGCCAAACTTTTGGACTAATAGCCAAAACCTAAGCGATTGTTGCCCACAATTCAAAAGACACCCAAAAACTGATCGATTAGAACCCCGCTGGTGAAAATAGTCAAACACGGAAATTTGGCAAATGCAGCTCATTTGGCATGAGGACTAAAGACGGGACCTACAAACTATTCCCATTCCTTTAGAGATTGTCCCGGACTCAGAGCCGTAAGTTAGCACAGGGAAAAATGTAACACCCTAGTAGTTTTAATTTTGTTGTATAACTTTTATTATTTATATATATATATACATACATATATATTCATTCAGCTATTTTCTTTTATTTATTACGATGAAAACACAAAACTTTGCTTTCGGTGAAATTGATTTACTCAGTCATTTCAAATGCATAATAAAAATAATTTTAGTTATTATTATTGTTATTATTATTATTATTTTTATTATTGTTGTTATTATTTCCTTCACAATTTCCCCTTGTACTTGAAGTCAGTGCCTTTAATGTGGGTCACAAGCCTTATAAAAAGAGAGAGAGAGAAAGAGAGAGTTAAAATATTACGAAATTATTTTCATCATTTTTAATTAACCAATCAATTTAAAAAGAAAATCTAAAATTAATTTACCAATCAAATCCAAGGAGCGATATCGTAAACAAATCAAATTAAATTACTGCAAAAACAATTGACCAATCATATTAAACCGTCAATTTGATAAACCACTCAGCCATTCAATCGCTCACTCATTAATTCATTTTTTCATTCATTCATTCAATCAATCATTCAACTGACCAGTCTTTAGCCCAGTGAAGCTGTGCATCGTTGACGGGGGTGGTGACGGATTTTAGGGTGGCCACGAAATCAGTGTGGGCGTTATGGTGGGATTCGAAGTCACCATAGTTTGCCTTTTTCATCATTGCCTGTAAAAGTTTGTGTATATGGGTGGTGTGTGTGTGTGTGAGAGAGAGAGAGAGAAAGAGAGAGTTTGTGTATGTGTGTGTGTGTGTGTGTGTGGTGTGGTGGGAGTTACCTCTTCATTGTGGAAATGTGTGTCAATGAGTTTGG